TAAATATTTCTCTATAACTTGGTCACATTTTAGACATAATTAAAACATGTCTTCTAACAAGCCTGAGTTTCCTTTTTTCATTTTTGATTTACCCATTACGGGTATTTTGAAAGAAGCCTTTCCCCTGTAAACTGGACCCTTTGAACAACTGGGCCTCTATTATAAGAACCACAAAACTGTAAGGATAGGAAAGCTAATTTTTTCCTTTTCTGATCTACCAAAAAAATCTCTCAGGTCCCTTTTTCTGTTTTTTGTCATTACCTATAGAGGCCAAGAAATCTGAGTGTTCCCATGAGTGCAAAATAAGTGTTGTGATTTGGATACCAGTCGTAAGTCTCCTTCCTCTTGGCCAAAGGCTGTTCACTAAATAGTTTCACCACTTTCATGGACTTGGAATCAGTAGGCCTGGCAACTTCACCAAATAGCCGGGCACTCAGACGAGACATGCGCAAGGCATATTCTGAGAGTGAAGACATTTCTTGAACAGCAAGGAGAAAGAGTCCTTACAGAAAATGAAAAGAAAGAGAAATAGGTTAACGTAAGAAATCCTGAGATTATCTAATGAACACTTTAGAAAATGAAAACACAGCAAGCCACACATGAATCAGTGTATGTTGCTGGCAGGATGTGCCTTGAAGTTGAGAAATATCCACAGTCCAAATGGCTATTTCCTTTGCATGCTTTACATTTGCAATTTTTGCATTTTGTGTTTATGTACTATTACTTCCTTGCTGTACTGCCCTTTTTACAATGAACTATTCTGTGATTCTCTAGGTTATTTACCTATTTCTAGGCTGGATGAAGAGGACAGGGAAATAAGTTATCCTACCCCAGCATTCTACCTTTAGAAAACACTCGCCTAAGCAATCTGCAAAGTAAATATGCTGACTGCTTGCCATCTAAAGGTGTAATCATGGCAGAGAAATAATTATGCTGTTGTCTTTATTATCCGTCCTTTGAACACTGTTCTCCTCAAGGGCTCCAGATGGCTCTGAGAACTGCTAATGAGTTATGAGGTCATTGGGCCTCTAGGTTACTGAACTGGATTCTGCCTAGAGACTGAGAGCCATTTGGGAAAAACAGATAGTAGTCCTATAGATATAAACTCGACAGCTCAAAAGATTTTCATTATTTTCATCTTATTACTAAATAGAAGGCACGAATGAATTGTGAGGTTACTTGTCTTACTTCCATCTTATATAGTCTGCCTTAATGCAAAGTAACTAAGTTCTTATTAGCTGAAAACAGTAACTTTTTCTTCAGAGGCACTCAATGTTGAAATAGGTGTAAGAATGATATCTATAATATGCACAAATTACAGCTAATAGAAATCAAAAACTATACAAGCAGTATATAAAAATAAAGAATGCTGCTGGTGGAATAACTCTCATTCCATTCTAGATCAGACGCAGGAGTTACTGTTGGCAGAATGTATAAATTTATGTGAAATTTTAGTAGTGAGAAGAGAATCTTTGTTGACTCAGACTATCCTGGGGGACACTTCAGCTGGGATGAAAAGGAGCCAATGTCCATACAGGAAAAAGGCATAAACATATCTTGAAAAACCAATGGGAGAAATGTACCCAAAAAGCCTCCTAAATAGGAATCATGTCAGGTGAATTTCAAAATAGTTCTTGCAAGAAAACCAACCAACCCAGTGTTTAAATTAAGGAAGTTTTAATACCCATTTCAAGATCCATTAAAAGAGAAGAGGCTAATCTCAAACCAACTGTAGAATATCAACCTCAAACCAACCATTTGCCATTATAAACACCAACCAATCTTGGGCCAACAGTGCCATCTGAAGGCCAGCAATGGGAGAATTGTCATATCCAAGGTCCACCTCTCGGTCTGCCCCCACCTGGGGATCACCTACAATCCTTGCTCTTCCCTTTTCCTGATCCATTCAGCACTCTCAGTTCCCAGATCACTTCTCTCCCACCTCTAGCTCCATTATGTGGATGCAGACGGGTTGCGGGTGGAGTTGTTAAGATGGCTTATATTTTCATCAATGAGAAAAAAAAGTCATTACCTCTAAAGGTAATGACTTTACCTCTAAATGTCTAAAGGCCACACAAATGTCCAGAAGTCACCTTCAGAAGGTGTAACAAGTTTCATTCCATGCTTTATCTTTTTTCTTCCTTTCACCTTTAAAGTTATCTTTTTCCAAATATCAGATTTAAAAACAACAAAAAACTGTTTCTTCATCAACTTTGTTTTGCTTAATTACCATCATGGCATCAGAGCACATTTCTGTTGTAACTGCACAGTATTTCCACACTTATGAAGCTTGCAGGACTAGCACAAGAAATGAGTAAGACAGTGGCACTCAGTAAATGGTAACTTAAAAAAAAGAAAAAAACTTAAACTTGTTTGTAAGTTTCATATTCATATGTCCCACACAGACATTTGTTTAATCCTTGTCCTCATTTAATCATGCAAAAAAAGAGATAATACTTCATACAATTAAACCTGGTACCTTCCTGGAATGATTTTCCTCACTTACAAAGACTGACAGCCAGAGAAACATAGAGGGGACCAACACATGGGTTAACTTAACAGGTAGCAATGAAGAAGGGATGCAGTAGGACAGTAGTCACTGAAGCCATTACAGGATGCTAAATTTTCTTCATGCCCACTTTGGAATGTAGCAAATTACTAGGATATATAACTTATAAGTAATAAGGTCACATTAGAATCCATTGGCACATGGTTATACCACAAAATCCAAGTCCTAAAGATTTTATGATGGAGAAAGGGCCTTTTCAAACCTGAATCCCTTACTAGAAACAAAGACCCACTCACTAAACAGGAGTAAACTGAAAATGGTTATAACAATTACCAACACAGACACAATGACAGAGGAGGATGGTACACTTTTTCTGTTTTTTTTTTTTTTTACAGAGGCTAAAAGATTTTACTGCCCATAAGTACTGGTCCTAAGACTGACAAATTGTCACTTTTTACAGACTTTAAATTTGAGAAAAATTCAAAAGCCTTACTTAGGACTTTTCGGGACTCTGCTATGCTATCTTACAGAATCTTTCAATCAATTTCATCTTGAGAGAAAGAAAGAAAAAAAAGAAAGAAGGAGAGAAGAATATGATCCTGTTAATGACACTGAAGTAAAAGGCAAATAATTTACATGTCAGTTAGATTTTGATTCACATGAAGCCATTCTAAGGAGTACAAAACAGTCACTTTAAAATGTCACCTTTCTTTAAATGTGAACTTAAGGAAAACTACAGTATCATGAAGAAAAATTAACTGGAGTTGAAAATACTAGGCAAAAACAAATTACTCAAATGTGACTAGCAAAACAAATTAAGCCCACACGAAAAGAAAATTCCCATATTTTTACTTTGGCACAAAAGGGCAAGTTTTTTTTTTTGAGACAGAGTCTCACTGTGTTGCCCTGGCTAGAGTGCCGTGGCGTCAGCCCAGCTCACAGCAACCTCAAACTCCTGGGCTCAAGCAATCCTCCTGCCTCAGCCTCCCGAGTAGCTGGGACTACAGGCATGCGCCACCATGCCCGGCTAATTTTTTGTATATATTTTTAGTTGTCCAATTAATTTCTTTCTAATTTTAGTAGAGACGGGGTCTCGCTCTTGCTCAGGCTGGTTTCGAACTCCTGAGCTCAAACAATCCGCCCGCCTCGGCCTCCCAGAGAGCTAGGATTACAGGCGTGAGCCACCGCGCCTGGCCTAAAAGGGCAAGTTTTTTTGATCTTTCTGGTAGGTCTGATGCATTTTAAAAGGTCAGGTTTACTTCAACTGGTTTCAGATTTGGTTTGCCTTTTCTCTTTGAAAGGTGAAGATGAAATACAGGAATTCTTAACCTGGATATGCTTCAATGTTTTGAAGCCTGTGGAACTATAAATCTGTATGCTGAAATGTGTATGTGTGTGTGTAAATTTTGCAGGGAAGAGAGCTTTCTCTACCTTCTCAAAAGCACTGGTTAGCAGAGAGCACTAGCTTCGGAGTAGAAAAGCTGGTTGGAATCTTGCCTCTGTCTTTTAATAGCCATGTCGGTTTTGTAGCAGTACTTATCCTTTGCCGGGTTCTCTTATCTGCTACATGAAGACAGTCATACTACCTGCGTTGTGAGGCTAACATGCAAAATTCATGGCACAGTGCCTGCCCTAACAATCATTGGGACCCAAGGAACTCACCCACACTGCACACGGGTGTTACCAAAGAGACAATCTAAACATAAAAACAATCTAAACAGAGTGCTTTATTAAAGCCTAGTACCAATTATTTTACTTAGTAGAGGCATGAATAGCACTGAATATGTGTTAGATTTATTCAGTTCAGCAAGAACAACTTAGTCCCCTCCACCTGAGTTGATCAGTTCTGCCTGTGGTGGGAACAACAGTAGTGTCGAGTTAACCAACTCAACGTTTGAGTGGGGAGGGCACTACCCCAACACTTTTCTTAACACATTAATTGCCACGTGAGTTATATTTGACTTACACCCCGGGCCTCATGAAGCATACGTAACTCACACTTCCCTTTATCTTGGGAGATGCGTGATGTGCAGGCAGCTCACGCTGCGGTGGCATACTTGTTACGCGATGGGTAGCCCCCTGGGCAAAACCCTGAAGTTGAAAATCTTACTTGTTGATGTTCTTATTGTTCGTGAAAATCTTACCTGTTGATGTTCTTATTGTTACAATTAATACTGACAACTTAAATGCATATAACTCACGCGTAGAAAACAACAAAAATACATTTTTCATTAAATTAGAAAGGATTATTTTGTTTTTGAAGTTTTTATTCTATTTTCGTAATAAAACACCATGGCCCCAAGGAAAAACAATTTTTTTCCCAGTGTGGCAGTCACTGGGGCAGTTAATTATCATCTTACTGCACTTTTCTTCAGCTGGTAACAAAAGTAATCTGCATCCCTCACACAAAGCTACGGTGCAGAAGGCAATTTCGTCTGGTGAGCAGAAAAACTGAGCCCCGTACATCTAACTTATGTGGAAGAGAGTAGCTGCTCCTCAGAGGAAATTACGGCAGCAGAAACGCTGGCGTCCTTCGTTTGGTAAATTCCCCAACTGACGCAGGAAAAGGCCAAGTTTGTGTGATAAACTCGAAATCCCCCGAGCTGATCACTAAATAATGAAACGGGCTCGTCCTATTCTTGGCGATTCTACAAGGTTGAAGAACCCTGAAGAACTCTACAGCCACGACCCTCATCTCTTTGCAGATACCCACAAAGTCAGCGGCAATCTTACCTGGACCTGACCTTCCGCACACACGGGCCCTCGTCCCGGAAGGCCCGCCCCCTACCCTGCGGCGACTGCTACGGAGAGCAGTAGAGAAACGGAAGTTTGATGGCTAGAGCGGAGCGGCGACCCCGACTTACTTGCGCCCTCTCTTGGAAGCCTCCGAGGTAAAGCTGGCGCCTGCACAGTGAGGCTAGCGCCTCCGCCAATGTGGACTGGGGCGGGGGTGGGTTGGGCATAGCGCGGGAGCATTGGCTTTCCTGGAAG